GTTATAGATCTTAATCATACAGACCTATTCAGACTCATTAAGTGGTTGTGAAGTAAAAAAAAACACACTTAATAATTAAGATTTGAATAATTAAGATTCAGACTTTAAAAACAAACGCACTTAATGTCTGAGATCTGAATGATTAAGATTCAGACCTCCATTAAGTGCAAACAAATGAGGCCTAAACCTTGGTGGTAACGTCACTCGGTACCTATGTTGGTGGAAGACAGCAGGTACCTGATGAAATATTCAAGGCGTACACAAGTTGGGTCCGACATTACCATTATCCCCAAAAAAGGTGGAAAGTAATAAGGTACATTTACTAAATTAAAGAGAACCTTATTTTGGAATATGAGAGGGATAGCTGCTACTAAGAGTTGGTGTTTTGTATTCGCCTTCTTAAGAGAGAGAACTCTAGAAAGTTAAAGAGATTAATAAGGCAAAGGCGTAGAACAAAAACCAATATTATGCCTGAAAAGAAACTATATGAATGAATCAACAAATATTACTGGGACATAAATGGGAAGCGAACTCAATAACAAAAGCACCCAACCTAAGTGAAAATGCTGATTGACATTGCGCAACAATCTACCATTCGTACCAATTATCCACCAAGTTATTTTGGAGCGTTGAGAAACCTATAGTTCCTGGTGTCTATTCGTTAAGTTTCAACAGTCATATCAAGAATCATTCACTATATGATTGCCAAGGATTTTCATTAGAAGCTTCATCTCATGCATTCCAAATTAAGCCCTTAGGCTCGACCAGTGACCAAATCAATAAATTTCTTGGTGATAAGAAATAGAGGAGACTTGAGCCGAGTGAATAAATACCTAAACAGATGTGCCCGTTGCTATAGATATGAGGGTGCATGGGAGCTGGAGGCACAAATATCACCTGCATCAATATAGCCAGCCGTAATTAGTAGGATAGGAGTTTCAATCAAGAACATTAACAAGAAACAACATCTTTCATCCAACATGAGAATATCATTGAATAGTGTCGACCATTAAATATACACCTGGGGAGCTTCCATAGGATAATGTTCTGGGAAATCAACTTGCAGCTGATAAGTTTCATTAGCATATAGCGTTCCAGGAGCACCATTCACGTCAATCACCCACCTTCTCAAAAAGAACCCACATCAATCAAAAGTTATTGCAACCATTTCCTCATCTTCTAATAATAAAATTAAGAGCAAAACTTGGTGTCTTTGGTATGAAGTTAATGTTCCATTATCTTGTTACCCTGAATTGCAGAACATGTTATTCTCAAAGGAACTCTTTTTGGTGATTCTCCACCAAAGGAAAAATAAATTCCAACCCTTGTGGGTGAAAGTCATCTACTTTTAACAAATACATCAATTGTTAATTAGATCAGCACAGATACATTGTTATCAATCTTTCATACTGAAAAATATCGCCAAAACACTATGGGGTCTTTTCATCTAGAAACAAGTTTTGCAGAGATTATAATACATGGATTAGTAATAAAGAAATTGTAATACATAGTATATTTTTTATCGGGCATTTATTTCTTTATACTAAAAAAGGGATATATAGGGTGTTGATAATGGGTTAATGGAAAAGAAAAAGGGCAATTTTGTGTTTTAGTTTTTAATCCATGTATTCCCTCCGTCCCATATTACTTGTCCACTTTCTTTTTTACACGCCCCTTAAGAATTCATAAATAAGAAGGGTAATTTTTACTAATTTACCCTTTTAACTCTTTTAATACACTATTTATGTGGCCTCAAACTAATCAACTCAAGCTAATAAAGTGTTTCCAAATCATTTAATTGTAAGGGTAAACTGGGAAAAATTTAATTAATTCTATCTTGGTTTTGTAAATTGACAAGTAATTTGTGACAGATATTTTTAGTATTTTGGACAAGTAATATGGGACGGAGGGAGTATTACTTAATCCATGTATTTTATCTCTTGCTATGTTAGGCGGTGGTGGAGCCACCTTAGTCTAAGTGGTGTCCTTTTGCCGAAAAATTACACTGTGTAGCTAAGTCAATTTCTTTTTATGTATATATACTATATGTTGAATCCCCATAGCTTCTTCTTTACTTCTTGAAATTCCTGACTCCGCCACTAATATTAGGTATAAACTAATACATGAAGTGGTGTATTATATTATATCAAAATTAGCTATACAACATTCAAAAATACAAACCAAATTTTACACCCTATCCTCCACCTTTACAAAATACCACATGTCAGCTACCTTTATACACAACGAGACACTGAAAAAATCTGTGAATTCCAAAGTAAACCATTTCTCAAAATACAAAATATTTTCTATGGAAAAGGTTCCAAATTCTCAAATGAAAACACAATAATGAATTAATCTTATCCAAAGTTCATCCAGTTACATGGAAAAGAGAAATTTCAGTGACAGAGATTAAAAAATAGTAATAATAAAAAGGAAAAAGGAAAGACCTTTGAAGATTATCGGAGGGTTTAAGGTTGAAACCAGCAGGGGGATTAACTTGCCACTCCACTAACTCTTTTTGGAGTCGATTGCATGCTATCTTGCTTAATGTCTGATTATTGAATTAATTAGTATAAAAATCAAAATCACATTAGTTTTTTGTGAAATATAAAAGAAAGAAAAAAAGGAAAATATCAAAGAGAAGAAGAAAACCTTGGGAGAGGAGTGAGCGGCGCTGGTCATGGCTAGCCGGGATATATCCATGAAACAAAAAAGAGGAATATGAATAGCTTGATTTTTAAGTCCCAAACTCCCCCGTTGAAGTGGGAGTGATATATACTAGTTTGAATTAGCTCATAATTTAAGAAAGAAATAAGCATTTTAAGATTTATAATTTTAAAAATAGTATAATAATTACTCCTTCCGTTCACTTTTGTTTCTCTACTTTCTACTTTGCACTCCCTTTAAGAAAAAAATAAATAAAAGTATATATTTTACAAAAATAGTATAATATTGTACGTACTATTTATGTAAATTTTCACAAATATATATTTATTAAGATAAGGTACACGCGCAACATGCGTATCCTAATACTAGTATGAAAAATGAATACATAGTGAAATTGAAATTATTATGTTGCAACTCTAATCCCCGTGTATGTTATTTTGGCCCAATAGCGCACTTTTCATTCACCTACTTTATTATTCACCTCTTTCACTCCCCTTTCTGGCTTTTTCCTCTCTCTTTTTTCTTAAAAGAAATTTGCTGTTATGTTGTAAAGTGCTTTTATTTAATGCTTAATTAATTTTTAATTTTTTAATTTTTTATTTTTAAATGCTTAAAATAATCAAAAGCAGTACTCACTCCGTTCCAATTTATGTGAAAATGTTTGACTCGGTACGGAGTTTAAGTAAAAAATGAAGACTTTTGGAATTTTTGGTCCTAAACAAGTCCAAATGGGGCCCAGAGTATTTGTGTGGTTATAAAAACTTCTCATTAAGGGTAAAGTTATAACTTTAAGCTAAATTGTTACCAAATTTAAAAAGGGTTCATTTTTTTTGGAACGGACCAAAAAGAAAATAGGTTCACAAAAACTGGAACCGGGGGAGTAATACTAAAGTAAGTTGCGCAGCCACCGCCAGCTCCTTTGACGCAGCACAGCAAATGATTTTTAATCCAAATGAATACAAACTTAAATAATTCCAACTATAACATACATATTCTGTCATAGACACCAAACCTAGCCAATAGGCATTGAATGAAGAAATTCCAACCAAATATTTTTCATTTAACTACGGGGAGAAGTGAATTCAATACCTGATTCGATTTTTATTCTTATATATGTAATTTAAGCAGCTATTTTTTTTCGTGAATATCTTAAATTATGCTTTTCACAAGTTCGGCACGCTAGGTATATTTCCGTTTGAGTTAGGTGCTTCTACTAAACAAAATGAAAATAAAAAAACGAAAGCTATGACAGAGCTTAAGATTTGAGATGTCATTTTACCTAAATATGTAAAAGGATTATCTTGTAGCAAATTCACGAAATTACTCGTAATTTGTTCATTTGGATGCAGTGGCGAATTCATAACAGGGAGTCATTAGATTCTGCTCTTTATTTATTATGACAACCAGTCAATTTTCCTGCGCTTCGCACGGTATTTTGGTAAATTTAGAAATATCCTTTTCATTACTTTAGTCCAGATATATATAGAAGAAATAACTTTTTCATGTTAAAATAAAAAAAGACAGTCTTTTCAAGGTATATATGTGTGTGTTTGTGTGTGGGGGCGTGAGCGTATATATGTAGAAATGTGTGATTTACAGATAAGTAGGTATTTTCATTTATCATAGTGCAAATATAATGCATCTTGCATAAATTCATTAAAGAAGCTTTTCGAAGATAGTATAGTTGATCTTTCTGAAATCATTAATTGAGACATTGTAAAGAGAAAAAGCTCATGCGAAGCTAAGTTTCATTGTTGACACGGGGTTCCTGATGCTTGTAAGGATTTTTAGAAAGGTAAATTTCATCATTAAACTACTAATTACCATACCAATAATAGTATTTATTTATTTCTTTTGTGTATTGAGAGTAAAGTTATACAAATGAAATATACACTTATTTAGTTAGCAGCAAAAGTCTTCTTAGGCAACAAACCGAGCTAGCATATGGAAGTATGCAACCATGTGTAATAGTTACACCAGGAACGATCTTTTCTGCTTCCTTGTTCTTCCTCACAATCAAGAGTAGATGCCCTAAAAGTATTCTGTTGCTCTTGTTATCACGAACTGCATCCCAAATATCAATTCCACCTCCTATAGCCATTCATCAGAAATTAAGTTGAAGAACAATATCATAGAAATTATATCCAGACCAGGATTTCAAATCCCTTTTAAACAATAAATTAAACTTACACTTGTAAAATGCAAAAGCAGTAAGTACAAAGTTGAGTTTATGATTTATAATAATATTGAGTTCATCCAACAATGGATCAAATTGTTAACCTTCTTTCCTCTACCTACTCAATTGTTTCAAAAGCAAATCTCACCCAGTTTACTGTATTTTGTATTATTCGAACTCATATATGTTCAAATAGATCATCCACAAAATCAAAATCAAATAATGAGAATTTTATATAGTAGAAGAGAAAATTCTATTTTCCTTCCTTTTCTTTGTTTCTTTTGGTGGAATTCATTAGTTGAGGAAAGTAGAATATATCGGAGGGGAAACAGAAAAATTCGAAAAGGCGGAACTTTGTTGTTGTTTTCTTTCCACTTGGCAGAGATATTATGCCGCTTGTCGGGAAACTCGCACCTTCCGATATGTATACGATCTGGTTGTAATTTTACTCCAAATACATCTTTGGACAGAGATGACTGTGGAGATTGCCGAAGAAGAGAGAATTAGTTATGTGAACAGTTGAAAAAATATTTGTCATTCAAGCATTGGTGTGTGAAAATGTTTACACATGACCTCTGATTTTCTAACTTTACCATGAAAAAACAATAACCGTTTTATTTATCTAAGAACGTTATTAAGAACCATCATTCCTTTTCGTGAAGAGTTGCTCCCTTCTCGTTTTCATCTTATTTCCCTGTAGTTGTTTCTGGTCACTATTTTCCGAGTTAGTAAATGAAGCGTTACAAACTTCTGGGTTTCTTCAATAAGATAAAGGTGGCTTTTGGGAAGGGGTTTCTATAATAAGATAAATGAAGAAATAGGAGAAAACACCAAAAATTGCGTAAAAAGATAAATAGGATTCCTTGTTTGTAATTACCTAAGCAAGGTCCCTCAATTATATATATATATNTAATATCTGTCATGATTTTCTTGTACACGCTCCTTAAGAAAAATTAATTAGGATAGGATTTTGACTACTTTACCCTTATTCATATCTTAATATTTAGTTTTTCTTCATTGATATTTGAACAAAGTTATCCATAATTGAAGTGGTTGTAGTCTTCAAGGATAAATATTACTAAGGGTAAAAAGGAAAAAAGATAATCAATTTTGTCTTGAACTTCTAAAGTGACAAATAATTTGAGACAACTACTTTTAGTAACCATGACTCATAATATGAAACGGAGGAAGTATGTAGTTCGAGATAGAAACTGATTACCCTCAAAATCGGATAACAATTGAATTTGTAAGTGGTTTTAAGGATACGTGGATTAAATTGACACAAAGCGATAAATTAAATTGCAATTGAGATAAAATATGATAAAGTAAATTCAAACCACACGAATTGAACAGTTACAGCCTTGGGGGAGGGGGGGAGCCACCCTTGAACAGAATGCACTTTGATCAGTGTCAAGACATAGTTGAATAAGAGCTTAAAGAGAAAATAACAGTATATTGCTTCTGAATGTGTGTTATAATATTGTTTTACAAGTAATTAGACCCCCTTTATATAATAGTGGAGTCCTATATTAGGTACAACTCTATAAAAAGCAAAAATTCCCTAATTAACTGATTACTGATCTCACATCAGCATATGTCGAGATCTCCGTCGTGATATTAGGTCGGTTACTGATATCACACGACCTTCTGTTGGTCGAGTTTGACTGCCTGACAATGTTCTTCGAGGTTAATCAAGGTCAGGACCGATCTGAATCATGTCCCCAATATTCTCGAGAGCAGGTGTTATGGTCCGGACTCAGAATTGTTGAGGTCCCTACCTCGGTCTAGGCCCCACAGTTATCATATCTCGAGCTTGGCCTATCATGTCAGAGACCGGGATATACTTCGAGACCGATTTTACCCGTATACAGATTGTTCCCTCATTTTCCAGAGAGTAGACGACGAGAAACGATATGAGCTTCTGATTCTCACCTCGATACCCCGCTTCAGAAACGACAAAATGGACGAAACGTCTCGTCTGTCACGTCTTAATGGCATTAAATACTTGTCAGTTGCTGGTCGGCCATTCCTGGACGCGAACCGTCATTTGAAAACTATGAATACCCCATTCTTCATTCATTTAAACTTTACATCCAAACCTTTTACCCTTGTTCCTAAGAAATCTTTATATTTTCTGGCACTTATATTCTATTTTTTTGAGATCTTTGTGAGAACCATCAAGTGTATTCCTTCAACTTCCTCTCATTCCTCTTTTATCCTCCATTTAAAAGAAAATGGCGAAGACTTCAAAAATAGTTCCCCAAAAAGAAACTCCTTCTTCATCACGGCCGGCTGCCGAGGAGACTGTTCCACGTACTACTATCAAGGAACCAGTAGTGAAACCCCCCCTTGAACACGTTCACCCCTGGTGGATGCTCGGTAACCTTTGATTTCAAGGTTGAAATACCTCCCTCCGTACCTGGCCAATGTGAGAAGGTCTCGAGATACGTATGTTCGATCCCTGAAGAGATCCTCCCCACGGTCAAAAAGGATTGCAACTGGGTTGATAAGCACGTGGTGGTTCCCGGACCTGATGAAGATATCACCACCCACGTCGAGGGATACTTAAGTTTTTACACTTATCCCTTTACGACGGGTCCATTGGAATCGATCATCATCGACTTTTGCAAAAGATATGAGGTATGCCTCGGTCAAATTCACCCTTCATTCTGGAGGATAGTGATCCTATTTCAGTTCTTCGTGAGCAAGATCGAGGGATGCTAGTTCACCGTTAACCACCTCATGCGCCTATACAGTCCCTGACTTTTTCGAGAGGATGGGGGGACTGATCAAGCAGGCGCGTCGGGCTAGTAAATCCCGGTTCTCGAGCATCGATAACGATCAAGATCGAGGTTGGCTAGGCTGTTTTGTCCGAGTGAGGACCTCAGACCTAATCCCAGCTGAGTGCATGTCGTTCCCACTTCTGT